TTAAAATAACATATATAAATATGTTTGTAAGTGAATATTATATCTTGAGATGTTAAAATATACGGGGATAAGATTTTGGATGAAATAGAAAGAGAAAAAAATGTAGAGGAAATCAGAAAATATATTTCTTAGATTTATGATATTGTAAAGAAAAAAAAATTAGGGAGGACTTATGAGCTATTAAATACAAAATAACACACGCATCACATATTAAGCTTTGAATTTATGGCCTCTTGGTTGATAGCCTAAGCCCCCAATTAATAGATCAAGATGAACCACATTAATATTGAAATAAAAATAATATTTTCTTTTAACTAATCGGCCACAATCATTTATAAGTGGAGGAAATTTAAATCCTCTAAATCATAGCAAATTAATTTTTGATAATTTTGCAATTCTCATAAATAGAGCTCGCAAAATAACTCATTTGTTCTTGAATAGACAATATTCAACTTATGTACGATTCTTTTATTAACTAAAGAAGCTAGATGAGAACAAATGTTTTGAGCTTCATTTTCAAACCAACGAACACGAATAAATGAATATTTTTATTTTTTAAATTATGGATTAGTAGATAAGAAATTGAATATTTCATGTTTGATTCATTATTTATTTATTTTCATTTATTCACGAATAATTTCAAACACAAGCTAAAGCTAAGAATAAATAAATCAAAATTCAAATAAGTCGAATATGAATAAAAAATCAACTTGCTCAAAATCAAATAAGTTTACACCCTATTCATGGATGGGCTCTTGCTGTCTACTTATGATTTGAAAAAAAAAAAAAAGAGAAAATAAAATTCTGTTACGTGTGAAACAAGTTCCTAATTAATCACAAAGGTTTCGTTAGGGACAATTTTTTTATTGCTTTTTTAAACAATTTCTTAGTTTAAAAATTAAAATTTTATATTAAAAAGCTGCTTTAAGAAGCAGTAAGAAAGCCATCCCAAATAAAGCAAAAGTCATATGCATTACTACTTATCATGTTCATCTATAATTTATTAGGCACATGTTTCATACCTAATAAATTCTCACCAAATATCTTTTTTTATGATTAATTTCATATTAAAGTTTCGTTTGGAACAGCTTTATTACTGCTTCTTAAAATTCCTTTTAATACTAAAAATGTACTAAAAATTGTTTTAAGAAGCAGTAAGAAAACATTCAAAACGAATCCTTAGTAAAACATAATAAGAATGAACTTTCTAACAATGCCACATTATAGTGATGATGTTTCCACTAAAAAAAGGTGGGAAAAAAAGTGAAATACTTATAGCAACCCATTAAGCATTGTTTAGATCAATTTAATAAAGGAAGCAAAGGCCATAGAGGAGAGCCTTTCTAATTTCATTTCTCCAATTTTAAATCCCTGACCTTTACAAATTATAAAGATCTTTGAAATTCAACAAATGAAAGGGAAAAGGATGAGAATATATTCATAGTTAATTGCAAACGACAGCTCTAATGAGATTTAGTGGTAAAGATGTAATTTAAGATAGATTTATCTTTAGAAATGAGAGGAGATTTAAGGCTCTATTTCATTATCCTTATTATAATTTCTTTCAGATATTAGAAATTCAAAGCTACTGCCTCCGAAGATTAAAGAATCACTCAGAGAAATACAGCAATTTGCCACCGAAGTTTGAGTATTTTACCAATCCCAATCAGTGATACCCACAAGATGAATGGGGTGGAAAGAGCAAACGATAGGTCGATGTCTTGATAAGATATCAAATGATCCAACAGACCATGACCACATATAAATGATGAGAGTTTTACCTAAATTTGGCATGTTTGTTATTTTTGTTGGGATGTGGAAGTAAATCACGTGATAAAACAAATAAGAAGAATAGAAATGCAGCGGAAAGTAAAGGATGTCAGGATTTAACGTGAAAAAAATTTGAACTTGTGAAAAAACTACGGAGCCACATCATAACAACAAATCTACTATGAAAATTGAGAGAAATAAGTACAGATCTATCTTCTCTCTCACTCTCTCTGTGCTTCTCTTCTCATTACAATGTTCTCATCTTAGTAAACAAAAGAGAAAAGCCTCTATATACGACCAAGGGACACCACCTTTGAGAAAAACGAGAAAAAAATTAGTTCAGTTTGCCTTGAAGCGCTGTGATGTGAGTCCTAACACACTGAATTTAGAGCGTTGTGACGCTCCGCTCTCTGTCTTTTCTCCCAGCAATTTTTTTCTACAAAAATCTTAGTACTGATTTTACTATTTTAGAGCCATTATTAACCCGTTATGAATATTTTCGTGGCAGTTTTAAAATCGGCAGAGTAAAATCATATAGTTGGTCATTTTAAAGATGATGATCAATTTGAAAAAAACGACTCAAAGAAGAATTCATGGATGCAATAATCTTACAATAAGTTAACAGTTTAGAAGAGTCAATGAGTTTGTTGCCAATTGATCTTGACACCCCAACCACCTCAATTCATGCTCATGCATGGGCCACAAAGCCAATCAGTTAAATCAGTATAGAAATTTTTTCTTTGTAATTCAGAGATGGTTAGGATTTCTTAATCAAAGTTATTATGTAAATTAATATACATTAGGGTGATGGTGATGTAGCATCTTCCTCTTGTGGACAAGTAGATACTGATCACAAACAAATTTAATACAAGATTCCTGTAATTAATCACTTGTACAGAGAGGATAAATGTTTCTGTGTTGGCATGAAAAGATAGCTGAATTAAAAGAGCTTTAAAAATATGTTAAGTGTTTTTTAGATCTACATGTTAGTTCTACGTGGAATTCGATTGTGTCGTCAATCAGACTGCACTGTTGACTCAAATCTTAATTTTGTTGGTCGAGCTTGTCAGGGGGCGCTCCCCCTGGGTTTCGAGGGCCTTGCCACGTAGTTTTTTTTTTTACCGCGGCATTGCAAGTTAGATAGTGGAGCAATGCGGCACTCCAGGCCTTGGCGCCACGACATTGCAAGTTAGACTGCGCAGTTTTTCTTCCTTTTTTTCTTGTTTCGCTAGAATGGCTGCATCTTTTGATGTATTGGAAAGTATCACTTTATCTATTCTCAGTGTAGAACGAAGAGAAGTGAAGAGAGACAAGAAATGAGTGTGAGAGAAGAGATGTGTACGGTTCTCCCAATTTTTCACGGTGAATTCCATGGTGTGACGTGGCTCTGTGATTTTTTTCCTGATTTATGATTTTCCACGTTAAATTATGGTGTTCATTTTCACTCTTTTTTTTTTCTTGTTTGTTTCATTATTCGGTTTGCTTCCCAACACTACATAAGAGATTAGGAAGAAACTTTACTGGTAAATTTTAATCAATCTCTTTTAATCAAACATTAAATGGATAGGAGTAGCTCAGGCCTGATAATATCTGGTTCGTTTAAACCAGTATATTTCGACAAGGCCAGTTCCATGGATAATCTGTTAGGAGCTCCAAGGAATGCTCTCCTCCACCACCAGCAGCTGCTAGCAGCATTTAACTAAGACAACTGGAACAGTACAGCTTTTCAAATAAAAATCAGAATGCTTCATGTCTTATGCTTTTTTTAGGACTGAAGCCGTGAAGGATGTAGAAACCTTCACATCCACAAGTTGAAATTTTATTTAAGCCAGATTTCTCTTTTTCATGCCTTAGAACACCGTTGCTTATAGGTACATACAGTTAGGAAACATAGATAAGATTGTTGACCTACATATCAAATACGTGCAAAAAGGAGCGAAATAGGCGACAAAAATGACGGTCGGCACGTGCGACGCATCACTTGAAGAATCAAACAACCTTCAATCGTCGAACGAATTGCGTCGTTGTGATTAGAATATCGAATTCCCCTAAGTGGAAGCCCCTCGCTGTTGAATCGGATGAGATCGATCAAAGTTGACAACCAAAACCCGAAAATAACATGCGACGCTGCCCAAACGACGTCCGATTGCGAAATAGACTTCATCGTTCTATTCGGACCATCCGAATCACCAAAAAGGAACTATAATTTCGCTCGAAGAAAATCGCGTGATTAAATCGGCGCATATCCCAAGGCGATAACGTAACAGATTTCAAGAAATTTCACAATTTTTGAAGCAGAAATTTCCGTTCTGATTTCTACCATTTTAACATTAAATATCATTATGCTCTCCTTAATTCTAAGTAATCTTGTACCTATTTATTGATAATTAATATTGTGCTCTACTTTCAATTAATAAATATTTGAAATAATCTTCTGCTCTATAAAAAAGATTTCAGCAGCTCAATTAAATTTCAGTCTAATTGTGAAATTATAAAGAAGTTCAAGTTCAAAGAGAAATCATGTTTATCTTCCAGAATAATAAATGCAAATAGTGGAAATAGCATGTACATTTGAAACACTTTTGTTTACCTGCTCCTCATTGTTGTCATTGAACTTCCTGCTTCACTATTGCCTGGGCATATAAAAATTATTGACCATCGAATGTTGAAATAAAATTATAATTATCTCAATTCCTGTGTTTTTGCTAATTGGATGCATATTTTTGGAAGGTTTTGTTTGTGTTAGAAGCTACTTTAAGGAACAAGTCTCATTGTATTGGCGTGATGCCGATTCTCCTATTGGGTGATTTCTATTCTTATTTTTGCTTTAAATTTACGATCGTACGACTTGACGCCGGAATGTCACCCCACAATCACCCACGAAACACAGACATATCATCAAATACGCACACCATCTACAACAACAACAACAACATCAACATCAAGCCTTCGTCTCACTATGTGGTTCGGCTACACGAATCCTTTTTCTCCATTATGTCTTGTTAAAAGTCAAATTCTCGTTTAAATCTAATAACAAATTTATTTTCTTAGAAGCATCTCTTTGGCAAAACACGCCAATTTGCTAATCAAAATAACTTAGAAAACTTCTTACAGCCACAAAGCTTGCTGACGAAATTATGTCATTAGCAAATCAAGCCTATATATATATATATATGAGTGTGTGTGTGTGAGGAGTATGATCTCAGGCACACAGTCATAAAAACAAAAAACAAAAACAAAAAAAAAAAACTAACCGACTCCACTATTGCGGATAACCTGCATCTGTATTGGCAATTGGCGGCACATCAGACTCTTACATCGGTTCGTTCTTTGGTTCTCTCATTGGTATAATATTTCCACTGCTAACCTGCCGATCCATGTTTTGATGTATTGGAGGAAAAAATGGCATCTTGAATCGCCTCATTAAGTCCGAACCCGATGGGCAAAGGCTCGCCAAATTTGATTGGTCGAACCCGAAAGAAAAGCTAGTTGTTGGTTCAAGTTGCTTTCCTCTACCAAGAAGGCCATATGTACATATTGGAGCACAGTTTTCAAGACTCATGAAGCTGTCTTGAGCTAATTCTGGCCTTGTGTAAAGACCAGGAAGCTGCATTGCTGCGGTTTCTGCAAGGCTGGATGGAAAATATCTTGCGAGGTTGATATTTCTTGCAGAAGGGACATCATGGTTATGCTTGCCTTCATATGTACAGATTACTGAATTTAGATCATCTGAAGCTCGCTCCACATGTTTGCGGACGGAGCATCCACGGTTTGTACATTTATAGTAGCTTCTGCATTGCAAAAACAAAAATGTCAAATGATTATTACAATATTCCAACAGGAGATGATTTAAATGGATAATGGTTGAACATGGCAAGCATAATTCTCCAAGTGTTCGCATTTTTAGAAATAAGCCATTGAAGATGATGTTCAAAAGAACTGCGAAGCATTTAGCAGTTCAACTTCTAAAAAGTGGCTGAGAATTAACATCATTAGCAAAAGATTATTCTTACAATCTTCAAAGCCTAAGAAAAGAGGAGAACTGCATTTTAAAATAAAGCTTTGCTAAATAATTTTAAATTTTTAGTCTTTTAGTGGCTGTATACTAAGTTAAGTGTGGTAGAGATGAGGATGCTCAGGTGGATGAGTGGCTTTACCCTTAGAGATAAGGATACAAAATGAGCATATACGTGAAAAGGTTGGAGTAGCTCCAATAGAAGATAAGATTAGAGAGAGTCGCCTTAGATGGTTTAGGAAAGTAGAGGTATTATATTTGACTTATGTTAAAAAAGGTAGAGGTAGACCTAAAAAGATTTGGTTAGGAAAATATTATAAATGATCTTTCTTTATTAGATTTAAACGAAAATTTGATTTTTAATATGACACAATGAAGAAAAAGGATTTATGTAGCCGACCCCATGTAGTAGGATAAAGGCTTGCTGTTGTTGTTGTTGTTGTAGTGGCAATAGAAAGCATATTATATTTAAAGGTGAAAGCCATGAAAAAAAAAAAAGGAAAAGTAACATCCATCTAGTCTAGTTTTTGTAAATGTTGAGAAGTTGCCGATGATAATATTTTCAATCGTAGCTACACATATAACTCTGCCACAACTCTACTCAACTCCCAAGGGCAGGTAAAAATGTGCCTACATCACATGTAGCAAATGCTAGTTTCTACAAAAGGAAAAAAAAAAAAAAACAAGTAAAATGCATGAATCTCTAGGAAAGTTGGAGTTTTGAGTTAAAAGAAGCTATAATTCCTAAGAACAAGAATACTGAAACATACCTTGGATTTGGATTTCCTTTGACAACCTTCTGCCCATACTTACGCCATCGGTACCCATCATAGGGGATATCTAAATCACTAGGAATCTGCACCACAATCCGACGATCACGCATGGCCCTTGAAGTAGTATTCCTGCCAATAGAGCAGAGTTCCTGCTTCCTGAGATTAAGCAGATCCAACAGGATTTAGTCAGTCAGCAGATCATATACATATAATGATACTTTTATCTTCATTATGTTTTGACTAAAAGGGAAGACGACCTTCTTTTCGATTCCATCTCCTCTTGGTCAATATTATAATCAGCGGATAAGCTGCTATGAGTTGCCTCATTATCTTCCTTGTCAATAGATATTACACATGATGAGGATTCCATCGACTCCAATTCTAATTGAGAGCTCTTCAAAACATTAGAAGGGTCATTAAACTCAGTAAAAGAAGCTGAAGAAGTACCTCCGAAACCATCACTCCATTTGGGTCCTTTAAATCCATCATAAGAACTTGCCAATGAGGGATTTCCTTTAAAATTGGCCACCGAACCAGGATGATCTGCACTGACTGATTGTGGACCATGAAGTTGTTTTGAAGATGAGAAACTGGACCGATGATTTGGAGGAGGCTTAGGGTGGTTGTGAGAGCCCTTATAGATTATTTCAGTGATATGGCCCTGAAGAGATCGTTCAATCTTCTTTCTAACAGGACAGTTTGGGTGGGTACACTTATGATAACTACAAGGAAACTCACAGCCCTTCAACTGTTTCTGGCCATACTTCCGCCAGTTATAACCATCCTTTGTTGGGTCACTTTCAGGAAAGGATGAGAACTCTACGTTGACGCCTTTTTCTGCATTTTGATGGTCATCAGGGGGTGGAGGTGGGGGACTTCCATTCACATCCAAGAAATGGGATGCTTTTTGATTAGCAGCAATATCATGAGTTTTCTCTTTTCTTCCAAACGGCTCCAAAAGCTCGAAATTTTCTTGAAGGGATGCATTATTGTCTGGTAAGGCCTGCTTTTGATCGATGTATGAAACAACCAAAGTGCAACGAAGGTAAAGTTTATAAAACTTAGCTAACAAGTCATGCACTTCCATGTTAATAATATTTCAAGGCGAAATAAGATATAGAATCACAAGATGCTAGTGTCTAAATTCATTAAAAAGTAATTTGATATTCATCCAGTAAGAAAATTTATTGGTTTATATTTGTTGAAAATCATAAAAGACTATCTTTATTTGATTGAATTATAATGCTAGAACAAACATATCTACATAAAGGCAAAAAAAAGTAATAAAGAAAACACAATACAGTAGGATAACATTAAAATGATGATATATTACAATAATAAATATTATATATTCGAACTATAAATACAAGTCTCATGATAAAATTGAAATGGCAACATAAAAACTCTAATAACTCGAATAACCACCCTTCCTCCTCTACAATCTGATAGTGTGGATCCAAAAAATAATTGAGAGTTTGCCTACCAAAAACATACTTAGGATAATCATAAAATGCTACACTTGATTGAATTATGGTGCTAGCATGAACTGATGAACATGCCTATATAAATACAAGATAAGAGAGCAATAAAGAAAATAAATAAAGAAGAATATCCTCAATAATGAGAATATATAACAATAATAAATACTATAGGATTCTTCTGAGGAATTCAAATCAAATATGCTAATATTGATATGACAATGTTGTAACTAAAATAACTATAACAATACTGACCATGGGATAAGCAGGCAAGTTGCATAGCCAGCAGCAGTTATCATGCAATCATGTTTGTCTTGAGTTCTCCATTCATCAGGAATAATGGCCAATAGTATTTCATGAATATATTCAATACCTAGGAATTTGATTAAGTATCACCACATTCTAACAATCTAAAACATATGTACTCCAGATTTGTGATATCACTCAGATTTCCAGCTTTGTTTGGTTGCTGCTTTATTGTGTTGTGATGTTTGTATGAAAGAAAATCAAATGATGCTCTAATAGAGGTGGATAAGTCGTAGAAGTGCATTTCCCTTGAGTGGAAAACCATGGAGGTGCAGGTGTTATCCATGTTACCCTAAAATACACAGCAGAAATAACACATATAAAAAATCACACAACAAACAACACAAAGAATATGACGATTTACGTGATTCGACGAAGATGCCTACGTCCACAGTGAGGGGATGATGATTTAACTATATTGGAGAACAATAGGGATTACAATAGGCTCTCATGCTCTCTCTTTTATCTCATGCATACATTACAATAGCCTTCAAGCTCTATTTAAAGATTTGAAACAAACACAATAAGGAAAGCCTAATCAATATGAGATCTAATCATGCCATAATACATAAAACAAATCTCCTAATTAATACAATAATTAGATCCCCTAATTAATGCATCAATCAAATCTCTAGTCAAATTTTTAATCAAATCAATTTAACTAGGGAAATAATCAACTCCCTAATCAAATAAAAAATGAGCCATTAAAACTTTCCAAAATAAAGCTTATTTGTATTTGGAAATAATTTCAAATCAACAATCTCCACCTCATCTTTCACTTTAGAAGGTGGAAGATGACAAATCAGGCTCCAATATCAGAATGACTGCACCCAGATGGTTGCCTACGTACCCCCCCCCCCCCTCCTCCCCAATGGATCAAGCTAAGCATAGTTCTTCCAAACAAGTGGAAAGTCAGTTATGAGTTCTGCACCATTGTCATGGTGAATGCATCTTTAAGCCTGCATCAATTATACCATTCAGATACCTTAGGATAATCTTCACAACTTGCCAACGACTCTTTGTATCATATATGAACCTGCTCACAATGCCAACTGCTTATGTACTATATGGATCGAGCTGCTCCAAAATTATATCATTTTGTGTTACAAATGCCAAGTAACCATTGGTCGAGGAATTCCTAACCACTGGAGAGAATAACTCATCATAAGCAATCACTTCACATTTAGTAGAGCCTTTTGCCACCAACCTAGCCTTATACTGCACATTAGCCCAATGAGATCCTTCCTTCTTTGCAAGCATCCATTTGCACCCCATAGATTTTCTTCCTGGAGGAACTTCACCAATCTCCAAGTAGCATCATTCTGAAGAGACTCCATCTCTTAATCCATAGCCTTCTTCAAAAGATCACCATCAAGACTGCCCACCGCTTTCTTATAGCCTTCGTAGTTGATGAAGATTAGGCTTTCTTTATAGCCTCCATGGCGATGTGAGGTGATGGATGCACTATACTCTTTGAATCTGGAGGAAGTTTTGGAAAGCAATGCATGTCTCGAGGAGATTTCAAAGAGGGATTGGCTCAAGATGAACTGGAGTGCTTGTGGCTTGATCAGAAACAGTCTATCTCAGGAGATCAAGTATGGGGTGATGATGGAGACTTCTGGAGTCAAGTTGTGGAAATGTTGGAGAATAAGTATCTGACGAAGAGCGTGAAGAATCATCTCTATATAAAACAACGGCTCTACAAGTTTCAGATGGGACATGGGATTACTATTGATGAGCATTTAAATGACTTCACAAAACTGTTAGCATATCTTTTAAATTTGGATGAAGATGTTAGAGATGAAGACAAGACATTCATTATGTTGAATTTGCTCCTTGATGAGTACAAAATTTTCACTATGATACTCATTCATGGGAAAGAGGTCTTGAACTATGGTGAGATTGCCACTGCATTGCTGAATCACGAGTTCCACCATTATGATTCATAGCCTCCGTGGCTGAAAGTGCAAAACCAATGTGATCCCTCAACCAAGCTAATTTTGGAACATTTTGGCTCCTGGAACTGTTCTTTGCAATAGATTTCTGAGCAGAAATCTCATCCTCAACACCATTTATCTCTTGATCTACAGCTGAATCAGGTATCTGGATAGAAATGATATGCCTCTATGGAGTGAATGGAGTTGCATCAAACTCTAACTTCTGGGTGCATCTGTAATCCTAATAGAACTCTCCACCTGCTTCGATTCATAAGGCTTCAACATGCTCGGCTCATCGAAAGTAACATCTGTGTTAATTAATCTTCTTCTCTACCAAATCATATAGTTTAAAGCCCTTGACTCCATGCTTGAAGCCAATAAAGATCACATTCTTTGCTTGCGATTCCAATTTATCATTCTGAATATGATAGTAAGATGGACACATAAATAATCTCAAGCAGGATGCCTTGACCAAATTTCCATTGGGGTTTTTTTTTCCAATAGCTGTAGAAGGCAAACAGTCAATCAAGTGACAGACATAATCTATTATCTCAGCCCAATAGACTCTATCCAACCCAACATTGGATAACATACACTGAAATTTCTCCACAAGGTTTGGTTCATCCTCTCTGTCACCCCATTCTACTGCGGTGCCTCTCTAACAATGAAGTGTAACTCAATCCCACATCTCAAGCACTCCTGCAAGAATGCATTTGAAGTGTATTCGCCCCCATTGTCTGATCTAATACACTAATCTTCTTGTCAATCTGAGTCTCAAGACACTTCTTCCAAGTTGTGAAAATCTCCAGTACTCTTGCGCCTCATGTTGTACACCCAAATATATATGGAGTAATCATCAATAAAAGAGAAAGTATCGCTGCCCACCGAATTATGCAACTTCATCGGGCCCCAAACATCTGTGTGAATATACTCAAAGATATACTTTGTATTGTAGATGGCAGTACCAAACGATACACATCTTCTTACCGAACACACAATGTTCATAGAAATTAAGCTTGTAGTTGCTTCCTTCTTTGATTAATCCTTGCTCGATCAAAACCATAAGAGAAGCCTCTCTAGTATGAGCTAGCCGTATATGGCACAATTTAGTGGTATCAGAAGAATCATCAGCAATAGTAACTATTTGAATCACTATTTTTTTATGAAGATAGTGAAGGTTATGGTGACGAACTCTATTTAGAAAAAACAGTGCTCTATAATATATCTTCAAAACTCCTGTCTCATTAACTACCCTATAGCCTTTGGTTCTTAAAGCCCAACAGACAACAAGTTCTTCCTGATATATGGAACATATCTCACATTAGTCATCTCTCTCTCAATATTATCATACATTTTGATGAAGATGCTCCTACACCAACAGTACGACAGGCTTGATCATTTCTAATGCTCATAACACCGCTCTCAAGCTCTCTGTAGGTATTGAACTACTCTCTAATGGGACAAATGTGATAAGTAGCACCTGTATCCAGAATACATCATGAACCATCTGAATAGAAGCTCTGAGAAATTGCAGTTAGTGATACATCTGAATCTTCGTCATGCTCTTCCATGTTAAGGTTAGCCTCTGTGAAAAAATCTTTGCCTTCTCCTTCAACTTCTGACAATCTTTCTTCTAATGAATAGTTTCCAAACAAAAAGCGCACTGATTCTTTTCAAGCCTGCACCCATGAGACTTATCCTGTTTGTTGCCGTCCTTTTTCTTCTTATCAGATATTCCTTGTTGGAGTGTGAGAGCCTTAGCTGAATCCATCTTTGCAGAGTCTTTGTTCCAACGTCGGAACTCATAATTCAACAATGTAGTGGCGATCTCATCATAGTTCAAGACCTCCTTCCCATGAATGAGTATCATCATGAAATTTTTATACTCATCTAGGAGCAAATTCAACAAAATGAGTATCTTGTCTTCGTCTTTAACATCTTCATCCAAATTTAAATAATCTGCTAACTATTTTGTGAAGTCATTTAAATACTCATCAATAGCAATCTCATATCCCATCTGAAACTTGTAGAGTCGTTGTTTTACAAAGAGACGATTCTTCACGCTCTTCGTCAGATACTTATTCTCCAACATTTCCACAACTTCACTATGGAAGTCTCCATCATCACCGCATACTTGATCTCCCGAGATAGACGGTTTTTGATCAAGCCATAAGCACTCCAGATCATCTTGAGTCAATCTCTCTCTGAAATCTCCTCGAGACATTCATTGCTCTCCAGAACTTCCTCCATATTCAAAGAGCTTAGCGCATCCATCACCTCACATC